CCCCCCCCGATGAAGCTCCACATCGATGTGTTCGACTTGACCAATGTCAAGACCGACAAAGCTCGGCGCTTGGTGATCGACACCGAATGGACCATCGACCGGGTGCGGGTGGAGGCATACGCCGCGGCACTGGTCCTGCCGCCGCTGTTCGACGACGGCCGCCACCGTGACCAGGCCTCCCTGCAGGAGGCCCTGCGCCACACGGTCGGCATTTTCGGCATCCAGCTGTGGGCCCGGTCAACCCCGAGCATGGAAATCACCAACATGCAGCAGCTCACCCTGCTGATGGACAAGTCGGTGCTGGTAACCTTCGGCGGTCGGCCCGGGACCCAGCAGCCGGCCGCCGTGGCCCGACAGATCGCCGCCATGGGGGTCAATACCCGGCTTCGGCCCGATGGCCGGGCCCCCACCGACCCGGTGTCGGCTCCCTGCTCGCCGGTGCTGGAGGTGCCGCCCGGGCCGCCCGGCGGCTTGGGCCTGGCTCCAGGCTTCGCCCCGCCCCCCGGTCCGCCGGGCAGCGGGTTCACCTCGGCCCCGGTGTCGCCACTGGCGCCGGCCGGGGTCGGCGGCCGCGCCGGGTCCACCGCCGCCGCACTTGGCTTCGGCGAGCCGCCGCCGCCGCCGCCGCCGGCCGGTGCGCCGCGGCCCATGGCTGGCTTTGGCGGCCCCCCGCCGGGCCCCCCGGGGCCGGGCTTCCACTCGTTGCAGGAGATCACCAACATGACCCCCTTCAAGCGGGGCCAGCTGCTGCTGAAGCTCCGCGACCAGGATCCCTCGAATAAGGTGCGTCCCTTTGCCCGGCCTCGCGTCGATCTCGGCAATTGCGTGCCTCTCCCCCTGGCCGCCCGTCTGGGGGCACTGTCTGACCTTGCTGCCGCCGCCGCCGCCGCCGCCGCCGCCGCCGCCGCCTTGGGCTGCCCCCCTCCGGCCCTCCCCCCCGATGGCACCCCTCCCCCCACCATGGCCGCGCAGACCTGCGTCGACTGTGACACCGACGAGACCGAGTGGGCGGCCACCTCGCACGCGGCCTTCATCTGCATCCACTGCGCGGGGCGCCACCGGCAAGTGGGTGCTGCCTTGACCGCCTGTCGATCGGTCTCCCTCGACTCCTGGACCCCGCAGATGATCTTCCTTGTGCAGATTGGTGGCAACGGCCGGTGCGCATCGCTCCTTGCTGCGGCTGTGGGCGCCTTTTCCCCGGCCCGTCTCCGCTTCTTTCCTCTGTCTCCCCCCTCCCTCCCTCTCTCTCTCTCTCGCTCTCTTCTCTTGGTTAGCTCCCATGGCCCTACTAACGTGCCTCCGCCCATATCACCGTCGCCCCTGGCTGTCTTGGTCCCCAGCTTCCGGCGGCTCCTGGACTCTCTGTCGGACCTGCCGCGGAAACAGCTCGGCTTCAATCAGGGCCTGGAGCCCTTCCAGGAGCGCTATTCCCACGCCAGTGTCCAACAGTACAAGGCCCGGTTGAAGGCCGAGCTTGATGAGCTCAGGTACGTCCATACATGCACACACACACACACACACACACACGCACACACATCGAAGAGGCGGAGGAGGAGAAGGAGGAGGAGAGCGAGAGAGGCACATTCCCCTCGTCTGTGCCTTCCCCACCCGCCCTCCGCCTCTTGCACCTCAGTCCCACCCTGCGCTCCCCACGCGTATCTCCTGCCACAGACATGCACCCAGCCGCGCGTCTCACTCACTGGCATCTTCTCCCCCCGCCCCCCCCCCTCCCACCCCACCCCACTCGGCAGCCACCTCGACGGGCCCGCCATCGCTGTCCGCTTCTCTCAGCTGGCTGAGTAGCTCCGGGAGCAAGATGGCCCATCCACGGTCCGGCCCCCGTTCCCCGTCGGCTGGCGGGGTGCTAGGCCACCACTCACAAATACACACCCGCCTTTTCTCCTGTCGGCTGTTTCCTGGTTGGCTTTTCCCCCCCTCTCTCCCTCCCCTGGGCACCTCCCCCTCCGCCCGACCCCCCTCCCGGACCAGGGCCCGAGGCGAGGGAGAGGCCAGGCAGGACAAGATCGCGCACGCGTCTCCACCGCTGCCGGCCCTCACCTCGACTGCCACTGCCAACAATAACAACGCCCACACCGGAGGCGCCTGCACGGAATATTATGTCCCCCCCCCCCCCCCCCCCCCCCCCCCCCCCCCCC